ATATAATCACAAATCATAACAGGATAAAGCTAAATGTTCCAATTGTTATAAGATTAGGGTTGTACGGAGAACAAAAATCATATTCAAATCATATTTAATTTAATTGTCCGGATAGTCTTAAATCGGGTCACATGCAAACCTAAACTGACCCAACTAGTGTATTACTTACTGATCAGATGTTAGAATCCTGCAAGAGCCACAGACTAAGATGTTCTTTATCAGTAGCCCCTTTTCATCATTATACGGACATTGTCTTAAATAAATAAAGCAACTCTGTTGTAACCACCTACATATCGTTCATCTGAACATTACTATTATGGGCTATTTCTGTATATTCCTTGATTACAGACGACCTTTCATGACAGGTCTGCTTAGTGTCTTCCCTAATCCTCCCAAGGCTTGTCGCCTACGTTTCACGAAAGCATAGGGTATAATTATTTGACATTGCTACAATGTTATCGTATATAAAAGATTGACCCTTCTGATGCAAGTATTAAATCATCAGAAATTCGGCAATTTAGTCTGATTTGCAAAGATCACTTGCATTTTTAACTGTAAAGTGTCGCCACTTTGGAAATACCTTACAAAAGGTCACAGGATTTTGTTTTTATAATGCAAATAATTCAATATTGAGAGACAATATTGCTGAAAACGGGAAGCACAGAGAAATAAATAACAAGAAATCATATGGATCAGACCATTATCAAGAAATATTTGTTATGCAGCATATGTTTTAATAATGTATTCATTGATTAGGCTACCAGCCACGTTATACCAATATAGATAAATAAAATTTATTGTATCTAAAGTCATATCAAACTTACGTTATTGTAATGTTCTAAACAAGTAGACAAACGTCTAATCGAACTTTAAAATCGATCACCAATCGAACTCTGCTAACAGCACTCACTAACTGCGTGATCAATGAATAAAGAAGATATTTTTATACTGTCAGTCAATTTTAGTGACAAAACATTTGGGCCGGTCTATATTATTTTGCAAAGTCTTTAAAGCATCGATATTGGATATTTCAGTTATCTAACGGGGGCAGCCGGAAAGCGCGCAATAAAAAGACGGACCAATATTTGCAAACATTCTCTTGATAAGAAAATAACGTTGTTGAAAGGAAAATTATAATATTTTGACACTTTGTGTATTACTTTTATTTTCTTATATATTTCAATAAAACATATGATGGTATAGGGAAAGAACAGAATTAGATCGTCATGCATATTCCAATCTTTGTAGCAGCGGCTCTTCTACAGATTGGTGTTTTCACAGGTGAGATATTTCCTCTTAGGTTTATGTTAGGTGAAAGAATCACATCTTTAAGTCATAGAGAATATTCTAAAGGATTGCATAAAGTGATTAGTAAAGTTTATATTTCTAATATAGAAAGGACTATAATTCAATATCATCAACATCAAAACAATTTTAGACCGTGTTTAGAGCTGATTTAAAGTTAATCACAGTCAAACTCCTTTGCCAAAAGAACTGTCAAGTTGCTAAAAAAAACATTCTTTACAATATTAATTTATATTGAAGTTTTAACGCTTCTATTTTAATATATATACTAAGTCATATTTGCTATTTGTTTAATGTTAAAATTAGAGAATTGTTCGTATCTATTCGAAAAAATGTGGGTGATGTGTCTCTTTAAAAATTACTGTGTTTCAAAACTAAAACAAAGACGCATGACAATGCATTTCAAAGTAGTAAAAAACGATGTATTTAACAAAAAACAAAACAAACAAAAAAACATGTAAGCATGAAATATCTAGGAAAAAACGTGAACATGCAGATAAATACAAAAAGCTTACAAAGTGATATATTTTGAAGGACCTCTGTACTTTTTTGGGTCATGCAACTTCTACACCAATATGTTTGAAATAGTTAGATTCTTGTTGTTATTATTATAATAAATGTACTTCACATATTAGATAAAATGAGACTGAATTTACCTTTGCATGCTAGATTAATTTTTATTTTAAACATAATTGTGTATCTATGTTCTATTTTATATTTATGCGAATTCAGTTAAGGTTGCAAAGACCGTGACGTCTTTATACTTAAATGATAAAGCGTTTTCTTTCTTGTTTAATTCAGAAGCGTGGTGTATTTTTGACTCCATAATTTTAGATTTATAACCTCATTTGCATTTTTATAGGTTTTATAGGCTATTTTAAAAAACACAAGAACGAGTTTAGAACAATTGATGTCATACTTTCTGAAAATGTTGATATAAGTCACGGATTTTATTTTAAACAGATGTTAAAAATGTCTTTGTTCATCTTCTTATAATAGAAGCTTTAAGATTATGTCTCCCAATTCTGACACACAAGTGTGATATTAACTTTAGACAGATTTTAAATTAACATAGTGTAATTATATTAGTATTGAAAAAGAGGTTAAGAAAATTTTAGTTCATTTTAGATATATTGTAACTTTTGTCTCAAGAGGCAAACATATAAGATTTCTTTGTTGTAAATAAAGGCTTATGTCATATTTTATATATAATATATATTACATTTTATATAAACGGGACAGTTTGGTTTAAATTCATCACTGTAACCTATCAACATGTTATCTGACTGTTTATTTTATCACACTCTGCGGGTTGTATAAAGTCCTGAAAAATCTCTTAATTAGAAGACGCGTTTTGATTGTTGAGCAGTGAACGACCATTCTATGTGAGACGTGACAATACATCTAATTATTGCATGAAACGAGGACTTTCATCAATATACATAACAATGTTTAAAGGGTGTTCGGATGTTCTAAAAATTAAATCATACCCGTAAGTGCATAAAAAAATGTATTCATGAATGCCAACCGCCCAATGGTGACATTCATTTGTTACAGTTTGTATACTGTGAGGCTTTAAGCAACAAAGCAAAACCTAAAATAATACTGAATAAGGTTTCTTCACGATACGATAACACTTTCGATCACAACATAATGCTTCTCTAGGCTTTGAAATAACTATAAAAAATGGTGGAAAACATTGAAGAAACCTAATGCATTTCCTTTAAACCTTTATAAGGGTATTTAAAACAATAGTGTTCCAAGAATGTTATGTTTAAAGATCCTGTAACACATTTTTTCATGGTTTTATTTCATAAATATGATGCTCAAATTAAGATGTGTCAACATTGTAAGTTACAATAAGCATTATTTATAAAGATATTACCGAATTTAACATTTCATGTAAATAAAGGGAGGCAATTAGAAATTTATTTTCTATTAATTCCAAGTCAATTTTTTCAATAAGAAATGAATGCATATAATTTATTGATTAAATATAATGTGCACAAATATTTGCAATATTTAAGTCACTTATGTTAAATTCCTTTCTTTCTTTTCTTTTCTTCCAGAAGTACTGAGTATTTTAGTATTATTTAGTAGTAGCGTTTTCATGTTTCTACTTTTCGATGTATGCATAATTGCTATAGTATAAAAATGTTTCAAGTAATGTTTTTTTGAAATCAGCTCGAATGTTAACATATAAGCACAGCTGATAAAATCCACTCAAGTATGTTATCGAATGACTGCAACTGATTACAAATTAGATTAGGAGGTTATATACTAACTGCCATGCAATCACATTTGCGGATGCTTTATACTGTTCGATTAATAAATATATCTTAATGGTGGACTAGCAAATGCTAGCCTAAATGAGTTTGGACCATTACATTTGCATTACACTACTAACCATGTGCTGGTACATGCACATTTAACACTTTTTTCAGAATTGCCGAACTAATCGAACTTTATTTTTTTCTTATTTGCCTGCCTACTAAATCTTCAAACATAGTTTGATGTGATTTTAAATAATTAAGCTATCTTAACTTATTATTATTTATATTATGTTCACATGCTATTTAACTTTGATTTGAATGTGATGACGGGTGCATTTAACGTCGTATTACTTATGTAAATAGTTTTATAAAAGGAATGAATTACAACCATCAATTAAGAAGATTAAAGTTGACATAAACATGCCATTACATAACATAATAATTATATTCTGACAGTTATTCATAAATTAGATATATTACGTATTGCTTACTACCAATTGATCAATCAATGTCTATTTGTATATCTAGTTAACCAAACTTGTTATTAAATAGACCAAGATATAAAGGAATTACATAATGTGTGCTTTTTGCAATAGATGAAAGGAGTTTCTTGACCTGCTGAATTAGTGTGCGGACTTCACAAGCTTTGCATTTAAGAGTAAAAAGATTTAAACTGAACAGAACAGAACAACACTATATTAACTCTAGTTACATGTAGCAACAGAAGAGTGTACAATGCATAGTATATCAATATAATAAGTGACAGGGCAACTGAGCATTTAAAAAGTACTATCGATTATCTTTTTTATTCTTTAGACATCATATTATTAAAAGGAGTGGGATTTTGGGGTAGATCTCCGTATATGTTGGAGATTCTTTCAAGGAATCACCCTCAGTCCTCTAAGAGTTGACGTAATTCGTTAGATTGTCTGCCGAATCCTTGTTTGTGAAAGGCACGGAATCACCAGTTGGTGTAACACATGATGATTCCGTCATGCACGAGCAGAACTGGATATTACACTCAATATTTTTGCTTGTTCACTACCAAAGTTTAACTATAAATCTAGTGATCTATGTTAAACCAGTTAAAATATAATATTAGTAGAATAGGTACAAGTACAATACATGTACCTACCTATTCTTCTTATTATAATATCCAAGACTGACAAAAAACAAACTTATAGGATAGGAGCTAAATTAACCGCTCCGTATACCACCATATCACGTGATCCCTCATATTAAAATAATTAAAATACAAAAAAAACTTAGTTCCAGACGATTAAGGGTTGAATGGGTGATATCCTAGTAAGTTAAACCCTTTGAAGGACTAAATATTCTCTGTTTTGTATTTCACATATTTTTTTATTTAAATTTGTATGCTTAAATCTCATGTTCGTAGAAAGTGGTGGTAGTTGCAAAAACATGATTTGTTTCAAATGCGTCATTTTCACAATCGCTGTAAATTCATGTCATATGTCAAACAATTTGAATTTTGGCAACCGGGATTCATAAAAAGATTCAAATTTGATATCTAAATTCTTAAATCAATTTTGTCATATTGTATTAGGACAAGCTGTGCATTTATGACACTGCTGTTTATCATATCAGTGTCATTTTTGGCATAAGAAAATATATGACACCAGAACACATGTCTTACAAAAATTACTTTACTGGCAAAAAATGTCCAGTTTATATAGTACATTTTCTATTCTGTTATAAATTTGGTCGGAAATGTTTATACTAGATATTTTTTAAACCCTACACTTGTGCATATACTCTTGATTCATGTTAATTTTCATAAAAAATTGAAAATGTATTTAAAAGTATAATATTGTGAACTGAACAAAAAGGTAATTTACCAATTTCAAACGGTCTTTACAATCCACGTTCATTACCAAAAAGCGGTCGGAATATGCAGGAATAGCCCTTACTGTGTTAGTCACGCAGTAGAAATATGGTGATAAATAAGTCATTAATTTAATGCACATAACATGTAAATTATAACTTGAATCTTGATTTTTTTTCACCTTTCTTAAAATCTTAGTTTGACTTTCTTGAAATATTTTGGTTCATCTTGAGGTATGCATCTTTAAGAATATAAAAAAATAAGATTTTTAAATAGTAGTTGTGTTTTTGTGATTTATCATTTAATTTTAATGTGTTTAGTTTAAAAGCGATAGATAAAATGCTAATTATATATACTGTTATATTTTATATAATTTAAAAAATGTTTTAAATGCGACACGTATAAAACACAATTGGCCCTTGATCTCTTTTAGAAATTTGCATATTCAAATAAATAGCATATTTTTATAATTTTCCATAATGAAAATTATGCAAGTAATCGTCTATTCATTTAAATTAAAAACTGCGATATTATATGATATCTGACGGAATACAAACACAATAGAAACAAACTGCTTAAAATCGTTACATATCTAAGCACTTTATCATTTCTAAGTTGTCATTCTTGTCAAGTAGACGGGAATATATAAAGGTTAAGAGACGAGCAAAAGCGATATTTTACTCTAAAGAAAAAATTAATATGTCACAAATGTCAAAAACCTCACCGCGTAAGTTTTGGAAATACATAAATAAATTCAAACGTAGCCCGTCTGATAGAAACAACTTAGATTCAGATAGTTTTGTTAACCATTTTTCAAATATTTCTAATTTGCCGCACAGTAATTTTAATGCAGACGA